GCGAGAGAGAGAGAGAGAGAGAAGAGAGAGAGCGAGAGAGAGAGAGAGAGAGAGAGAGAGAGAGAGAGAGAGAGAGAGAGAGAGAGAGGAGGAGAGAGAGAGAGAGAGAAGAGAGAAGAGAGAGAGAGAGAGAGAGAGAGAAGAGAGAGAGAGAGAGAGAGAGAGAGAGAGAGAGGAGGTGGGGAGGGGAACAAGCATTTTTTCACGTATTCTGTTATTCCTGAAGTTGTAGTATATTGCTTCTTAGAAATATGAATTAATTCTCACACAAAAACGCACACCATTGCTCTGCCTGCATGTATGTCAGACATTCTTTTTATCTTTCTGTCTGTCAGTCTGTCTTTTTGTCTTTCTATTTGTTTGTTTGTCTGTCTGTCTGTCTGTCTGTCTGTCTGTCTGTCTATCTATCTATCTGTCTGTCTGTCTGTCTGTTTGTCTGTCTGTCTGTCTGTCTCTCTCTCTCTCTCTCTCTCTCTCTCTCTCTCTCTCTCTCTCTCTCTCTCTCTCTCTCTCTCTCTCTCTCTCTCCTCTCTCTCTCTCTAAAACACACAAGTAAGCTTTTATCCCCTTGGAGAGGACTTCCTGTTTACAAACCGCAACCCCAATACTTAGAATGTTTAAATTTTCGAAAATGATTTCATGTTTCTTTGAATTCGTCATTTATACTGTGTTTTTTTCTTTTCTTTTTTGTTTATTTATTTGTTTTTGTCTATTTGTCCATTGGTTTGTTTATTTACTTATAAAGGGTTAATATAGATTGACGTGACTGTTATAGATATTCAATAGTAGGAATTAGTTTGACCAATATGAAGTGACATTTTTCATATATATTGATAAGACAAAAATAAATTGACTGATATGAACTAAAATGAGCTGACGTAACCTATATATATTAACAACACTAATATAGATTGACTAATATGAACTAAAATGATCTATATGACTAATGTATATTGGCAAGACTGATATAAACTGACTAATATGACTGACATGATTAAGATAAATTGATGATTATATGAAATGAGTAGACAAGGCTGATATAGATTCGCACAACTGTTAGAAACTGATATGAATAATATAAACTGACATGAATAATAAAGAAATGCATGTACAATATAGATGAACATGACGGATATAAACAGACATGAACATTATAGATTGACATGGCCAGGCAACTAATGGCAAGAACATTTTAACTGAGTGCTGAAAAGATATTTTCTTCCCCTCCCCTCGCCGTCCTACTTTCCTTCCCCCCCTCCTGCCCCTTCTCCTTTCGTCTCCCCCCCCCCGCTATTGACACCTCTTCCCCCCTCTCCCCTCCTCGAGTCCCCTTTCCTTCCCCCCTTCCAATCCTCCACCCTGTCTCCCGTTCTCCCTTCCCCATATCCCCCTACCGCACTCCATCCCACTCCTCTCTCCCTCCCCAACCCACTCTATCCCCTCTCTTTCTCCACACCCATCCTTCTGTATCTTTTTTCCTCCCTACTGCCTCCCCCCTCCCACGTCCTCCTCTCCCTCCACCCCCTTCCCTCCCCATGCCCCTCCCCCCCCTCCCCCTCTTCCTCCCATCCCCTCTCCCTCCCTCATGCCCTCTCGCCCCTCCCCATCCTCTGCCTCCATCCCTCTCGCCTCCCCACCCCCTCTCCCTCTCCATCCTCTCCCTCTCAACCGCCTCTCCCTCCCCACCGGCCCTCTCGTCCCCCCGACCTGTTGGCTTGCCTCATCCCTCTCCACCCTCTCCCCTCCCCTCTCCCCACCCCTCTTTCTCCCCCCCCCTCTCCCTCTCATCACCCTCACCCTCCCACCCCCTCCCTTCCCACCCCCTCTCCCTCCCACCCGCGTCTCCCTCCACCCTCTCCCTATCCACCCCTATCCCTTCTCCAACCCCTCTCCTGCTCCCCACCCCTCTCACCTTCCCGACGCCCTCTCCCCTCCACCCCCTCCCTCACCGC